TTATGCTTGATAGTCTATTTATGCCATATATTAGGGCCCCTAAATTTGCCCCTAGTTTTTCTTTGAGGAACTGTATAGTTCTAGGTTTCACATATAAGTCTTTGATCCATCTGGAGTTCATTTTTGTGTATGGTGTGTGGTACAGATCTTGTTTCATTTTTCTGCAAATGGATGTCCAATTTTGCCAGCACCATTTATTAAACAAATGTTCTCTTCCCCATTTAATGGATTTCGGCCCTTTGTCAAAGATCAGCTGACCATAGGTCGAAGAATCTATTTCTGAGTTCTCAATTCTATTCCATTGGTTTATGTGTCTGTCATTAAATCAATACCAGGCAGTTTTGACTACTGTGGCTGTATAGTAGGTTTTGAGATCGGCAGTGTGATGCCTCCTACTTTTGTTCTTCTTCTTCAGCAGTGCTTTGCTTGTCCGAGGTCTAGGCAGTAAATCTTTATGGAAGTAGATTGCCCTGTCTTCTTTCTGTGGAGGGGCTTGTGGGTGTGAACCTCCAACATCCTCGTTAGCAGTCATATCTCAGGCACTGCGCCACTAGAGCTCCTTCCTAGTATCTTACTAATGGGTGATTCTTTTAGACAAAGCCCTATTAAGCCAGAATGCCTGTTAACTTTGTGATCATTCCCAGAGGCACAGAGAGTGTCAGGATGATGGACATTATTTTATAATGTGTACTGGTTATATTATCTGTTCACTTTGTGAAAATTTATCAAGCTAAACCCAAGGTTTATCTGTTTCTCTATGTATGGGTTTGACTTCTATTTAAAGTTTCCTCAAAACAAACCAACTTGCTGCCCATGTTGCCCCTCGATCTTGAAGGGACTCTTTCAGCCTCTGATACCCATGGCCCCTTCTCAAAAGAGGGCATCTCAGAACCCCCATATCTGTGTGACCACAGGGGAAGAATTAAGGCACCCTTCATATCTATTTGTTGAAGCAGAGTTCCTGGAGAGAACCTGGTACCTGGCTCCCCAGGAGGCTAATTCATGGTCTAGCACCTGTCATCCTGGCAGACAGAAGTCAGGTTGGACTGCACTCAAATCACTGAAACTTTCTTTTTATTTATTTATTTTTTGAAATATATAATTATAGCACTTGTTTTGCCTCTTATACTTGGCATATTTATATTCTTTCTGTATTTGGCCCTAGTGTTTGAATACTATTTTATTCTGTCATTATATGTATCACATAAGCTGCCTGAAAACTTTTGTGGACTAAAGGGGGTGCAGATAAAAAGTGTTTGTTCTTTGTAATGTGAGTTCTTCCCTTCATATGTATTTTCAGACAGGCCTTCCCATATCCCATTATTTTTTGTGACATGAAATTTCACCATGGAAAGGTATGTTTTTCAAGCCACAGTTTTCTTGTTGAATTTGGATATGAATGTTTGTTTATTGTTTCTTGTCTTTTGGCCTTTTACCTTCTGTGAAAGGCATGTTGTTAGGTGCCATCAAGTCGGTTCTGACTATGAACAGCTGAACAAAACATTGCCCAGTCCTGTGCCATCCTCACAGTCATTGCTGAATATGAGCTCATTGTTCTAGCGACTGTGTCAATCCGTCTTCTTGAGGGTCTTCCTTTTAATCGCTGACTCTCTACTATCCAAGCATCATGGCCTTCTCCAGGGACTAGTTCCTCCTGAAAACATGTCCAAAGGATGTAAGATGACTCTCATTATCCTCACTTCTAAAGATTACTCTGGTTATTCTTCTTCCAAGACAGGTTTGTCCATGGTATATGCAATATTCTTTGCCAACACCGTAATTCAAAAGCATCAATTCTTCATCCTTGTTTATTGTCCAGCTTCCATATGCATATGAGGCGATTGAAGATACCATGGCTTGGGTCAGGCAATCCTTAGTCCTCAAAGTGACATCTTTGCTGTAAGCTATGTCATCAGTACTTCAAAAGAGCAGGGTCATCCTTGTTTCAGCAGAGCTTCCAGTCTAAGACAGACTAGGAAGACAGACCTGGCCAAAGGCTTACAAAACCTGAAATATATTAGGGATGAGAAATCCTCAGTGATTTCAGTGGTAGGGTTCTCACTTTCCATGCAGAAGACTTAGCTCAATTCCTGGCCAACGGACCTCATGGGCAACCACCACATATCTGTTAATGGAGGCTTGCATGTTCCTAGGATACTGAACAGGTTTCAACTGAGCTTCCAGACTGAAACATACTAGGAAGAAAGACTTGGTGATCTACTTCAGAAAATCAGCACATCAAAACCTTATGGATCACAATGGTCTGATCCCACTATGCATAGACTCACCATGCATTGGCCAGCTGACGGCAACTGGCAACAGTAATGTTTAGTTAAATGAAACACTCAATAAACACATGAAACTTAATGGGCCTTTTCCTGCAGGGATTAAAGATTTCATGTGTGAATTATGTGGAAAGACTTTCAGTGAGAGAAACACTATGGAGACCCACAAGCTCATCCATACAGGTAAGCTTATCAAAGTCTGAAAAAATGTTCCCAGGGCCCTCACAGTTACAGGGATGGAAATGACTATGCTATTATTTTATAATGTAGACATTTTCAGAATACTCTGTACAGTCTTGGCTTAATGGCAGCCACTCCCCCTTAAAGATCAGCCCCTACAACTTCCAAATATGCATTTTTGAATTTGCAAATACTGGGGCAAATTTTTAATGCAGCTAATCACAAACATTCTACATGAAGGATGAAGGCCATCCCCCTTAGTACTTGCCAAGGAGTAATAAAGTCTGAAACCCTGGGCAGTGGTTAGTGGTGAATAGGGAGACAAGCTATTTGTGACCTACCTTGTCTTTTCTTCCCTGTGTGTGCACACGTGAGAGCAGTGGGCAAGCAATGGACGTGCTCAGTGTGTGACAAGAAGTATGTCACTGAGTACATGCTGCAGAAGCATGTGCAGCTCACACATGACAAAGTAGAGGCACAGAGCTGCCAGCTGTGCGGAACCAAGGTGTCCACCAGGGCCTCCATGAGCAGGCACATGCGGCGAAAGCACCCTGAGGTAAGCCTGCTGGATGCCTGGCTCCTCTTCCCTGAGCCTCCGGGGTACAGTTCTGGACCTCTTCCTGAAACCTTCTGGCAGTCCCTCAGGAGAGTGGACCTCTTAGTCTTTTCTGCTGAATGACCTCTTACTCTTCTGCTGCTTGGAGACCTCGTGTTGGGTCATGCACTAACCAGCTCTGTCTCCAGACCCTGAGATTCCCAGACAAGGCCTGTGTCTTACTTTCCCCTCTGATTCCTCCAGCCTGCCACCAGGGGGTGCTGCATATATAAATGGAATAGGAGAGCCTCAAACTTACTCTTTGCTAAGGTTAAAAATTATGCTTTCACTGGCTATGTAGCAAGGTGGAAGTGCAACCAGGTCCCCACCCCATTCTTCCTTTTGAAGTAACTGATAAAACGTGCAAATGGAGAGCCTCCACGTGGTGTTGGAGCAATGAGTGAAATGGGGGCATTGAGGACTAAGAGTGAAAAATAGTGCAGGGAGCAAGGAGAGCCCAGCATGCCCAAAACCAATTTAGAAGTCTGAGGTCATTGAGTAACTCACTGTGCTTTAAGAAGAAGTGAGCTGAAAAACGAGAAGAAAATGCAACTAAACAGCTACGAGGTCACTGAAATGAAAGGCTCTCTAAGCAAAAGAGCAATGAAAGGAGTCACGAACAAAAATATCAATGCATTTGACTACATAACTTGTACTACAGAACTTGTGTTGTTAAGGGGCTCTGGTGGTGCAGTGGGTAAAGCATTTAGCTGCTAACCAGAAGAAGTGGGTTCAAACCCACTAGCTGCTCTGTAGAAGAAAGATGAGACCGTCTACTTCCATAAAGATTTATGGCCATGGAAACCCAGTGGGGTCTCTATGAGTCGGAATCGACTGAGTGGCAGTGGGATTGGTTGCGTTGGATTGTTGTTGTTGTGTGCTGTTGAGTTGATTCTGACTCATTCATGACAGAGTAGAACTGCCGCATAGGGTTTCCTAGACTGAAATCTTTATGGGAGTGGATCACCAGATCTTTTCTCCCATGGCGTTGCTGATGGTTTTGAACCACCAGCCTTTCAGTTAGCAGCCAACCACTTAAATCATTGCACCACCATGGCTCCTTGGAACTTCTGTAAGGCAGTCAGTCAGCTTCCGTAAAGATTTACAGCATTGGAAACCTTATGGGGCAGTTCTTCTTTGTCCTGTAGGGTTGCTAGGAATCAGAATTGACTTGATGGTGGTCTTTTTAGTGCAAGAAAAGGCCCAAAGCCTTTTCAATGATTTAAGAGCTGCAAGTGCAGGTGATTGTGATGAAGAATTTGTTGCAAGTAGGGGTTGGTTCAGTGGTTTCAAAGTAAGGACAAATATACATAACATTAAAGCAGAGCTTTGAAACAGTACTACCCCATTCAAAGATGGCTGCACCCCACTCAAAGAAGGTAGCCAACACCCTCCACATACACACCTGCCCCTGCTTTGAACGTGTGTGGCTCTCCACAGTCCTGACAATAATCCAGTCTAATGTATCAGGCTCCTGAAAGGACTCACTGTGCCTTTTATGAGTCTCCCATTCCAGGGCTTTGATCCATAATTTTTCCCATTCTGGTTTCTGTGACAAATCACCCAAATTATAAAAATTCAAATTGGTTCACTTTTTTGACCATGACAAACTAGTTCAAAGCCCTGCATTAAAGGGCCAGTAAGAGTTGTCCATAAGTTAGATATTCATAACACGGGTACTGCTTGTATTGTGAATACATGAGATATACTCTTACCTATGTAATATAAATGTGATAGGTAAAGAAAGAAAGAAAACATTGTACAATAGTTTTCTCCTAGTTTTGGGTAATTTCTATCTTTTCCTGTACTTTCTAAAATGTCCTTTAATGAACATGAATTATTTTCGCAATGACAAAAGCACAGTCTACTCTAGGTATAAATCCAATGGCTTTTGAATTTAGAGATCATCTTTGCACTTTTGTTCTGAACATTGCCACGTTCATTCTTCCTTGCAGACCTTTGTGCTCCCCTGCGGGCAGTGCAGGGACCTACTCGGCTCTCCAGTCCTTCCACCCTGGGAACCAGCTTACATGCTCTAACCTGCCTCCCACGCCACACCTGGGGCTTCTCTTTCCTGTAACTGAGCTGTTCCTACTCAGCTTCTATTTTTACTTTAGTGGCCAGCCAGTGTCTTCATTTGCTAAGGCTGCAGTTACAAAATACCACAAAGTGAATGGCTTTTGAGAACAAAAATTTATCCTCTCACAGTTCTAGAGGCTAGAAGTCTAAAATCAGGGTGTCAGCAGGGCCATGCTCTCTGTCTGTCTGCTCTAGGAGAAAGGAGCTCTGGTGGTTCAGTGCCTAAGGCATTTGACTGCTAACCAGAAGGTTGATGGTTCAAACCCACCAGCTGCTCTGCAGAAGGAAGATGGGGCCATCTACTTCCATAAAAATTTACCATCTCAGAAATCCAATAGGGGTCGCCATGAGTAGATCCTCCCTTGCCTGTTTCAGCTTCTCCATCCTTGGGCATGTCTTGGCTTTCCTTGACTTAGAGGTATGTGTGACTCTGTTTCCATATCTGTCCTTTTCTTTTATAAGATGCCACTCAGAAAAGATTAGGATTAGGACCTACCTTACTCCTCGGTGATATCATTAACTTAACTGATAACATTTGCAAAGAAAAACCCTATTTCCAGACAAGGTCACATTCACCGTACATGGATTAAGATATCAACATCTTTTTGGGGGACACAGTTCAATCCATAACAGCTAGTGTTTTCATCTCAAAAAATAAAGTCAGGAGAGCAGGAGTCTGACATGTTAAGATCTACTTGGATCCCCAATATCAGCCAAAGCCCTGTCATCCAATCTCAGGGCCCAGAACAGGCCTTGAAGACTCACCCAGGGGCTCAGGAAGGTACCACTTTGGAGCCTGGAGCTTAAGTGATTTCTCTACATTACTGTGGTCATGTTATTGTTAATTACCGTTGACTCAGCTCTGACTCATGGCAACCTCATATATAATAGAACAAGATGCTGCCCCGTCCTGTACCATCCTCATGATCACTGATATTCTCAAGTCCACTGTTGCAGCCACTGTGTATTTTAAGTGCCTTCCAAACTAGGGGGTTCATTTTCCACACTGTATTAGACAGTATTCTGTTGTGATCCCCATAGGGTTTTCAGTGGCTGATTTTCAGAAACAGATTACTAGACCTTTTTCCTAATCTGTCTTAAGCTGGAAGCTCCACTGAAGCCTATCATGAGTGGTCCTGCTGGTATTTAAAAATACCAGTGGCATAGCTTCTAGCATCATAGTGTAACATGCAAGTTACAAGAAAATGACAGATGAGTGGTGGATCGTAGTCATATGTCCATTGCTGCAGAGTTGATTCCAACTACTGTCAACCCTAGAGGACAGAGTAGAATCACCCCCTTAGGATTTCCAAGGCTATAACTCTTTAAAGAAGCAGACTACCCTATCTTTCTCCCATGAAGTGGTTGGTGGGTTTGAACTGCCAATCTTTTGGCTAGCAGCCAAGTACTTTAACTACTGCAGCATCAGAGCATGTCATATGTGGTCTTATATAGTTAAACATTCCAAGAAGCTGGACTGTATGAAGAAGAACATGGCAGGAGGAAAACTCATTCACAACCTGTGATACGCAGACAACATAACTTTGCTTGCTGAAAGTAAGGATGACTTACTGATGAAGATTGAAGACTACAGTCTGCAGTATGGATTACACCTCAACATAAAGAAACAAAAATCCTCACACCTGGACCAATAAACAGCATCATAACATAATAAATGGAGAAAAGATTGAAGCTGTCAAAGATTTCATATTACTTGGTTCTGTAATCAACACCAATGGAAGAAGCAGCCAAGACATCAGATGACGTATTGTACTGGGAAAATCGGCTATAAAGGACCTCTTTAAAGTGCTGAAGAGCAAAGATGTCTCCTTGAAGACTAAAGTGCGCCTGACCCAAGCCATGGTATTTTCAATCACCTCATATGCATGTGAAAGCTGGACAGTGAATACGGAAGACCAAAGAAGAGTTGATGCTTTTGAGTTGTGGTGTTGGCAAAGAATACGGAAAGTATCATGGACTGCCAAAACAACTAACATATCTGTCCTAAAAGAAGTGCAAGCAGAATGCTCCTTGGAAGCAAGAATAGCCAGACTTCGTCTTACCTACTTTGGTCATGTTGTCTGAAGGAACCGTTCCCTGGAGAAGGATATTATGCTTGATAAAGTGGAGGGTCAATGGAAAAGGGGAAAGCCTTCAATGAGATGGGCTGACACAGTGGCTGCAATGATGGGCTCAGGTGTATAGTAAGGATTGTGAGGCTGGCATGGGACCGGACCAGACAGTGTTTTGTTCTGTTTTACATAGTGTCACTTTGAGTCAGCAATGACTCAACGGCACCTAACAACAACAACAACATAGTTAAATGTATTAATGAAGAGTACATAGGTCAGGTTTTGCATATCGGATGTTAGATAGGCTTTGCTTGGCAGGACTGTGCTATAAAAAGTCTGCAGCAAACATTTTTGTCCGTAGAGTCCTCTTCCAGTTTATTCCTTCGTGAATTCAAATGATGGCACTGTGCTTCTTAATAGGGTACATTACTATTACTTATTTCACTCAACTCAAGCAAACCAACGAAGGGGAAAGGAAATGCCACTATAGCTATTTTGTCTGTCACTTTGTTCTCAGTTTGTTTGCTTCTCCAACCTAGGCCTTTCTCTTTGGGTCATTCCTTTTGACCATTTTGTTCTTTTGAATTAATATCAATCAAGCACCTACTAGTGATTCATCCTGACTACTCAGGAGGGTAACAGGCAGGCAGAAGCCTGGCTGCACTTCACAGTCAGGGTGAAGGAAGGAACAGAAGCAAAAATAGGAAATACATAAGGGGGTAAAATGGCAAATGAGAAAGGATGATGTGGAGGCCACAACTCAGGGCAGCAAAGAGCAGGGGCCAAGTGAGGGGGAGGATAGGGACTCGAATGGCCTTGCTGTTGGGATGCCCTTGTGGATGGGACCATCGACAAGCCACACTAGGCTGGCCCCATGAATACTGAGCACAAGGGAGTTTTGTTCATTTGATCCATGCTAATTTATTCAACATGAACTGCTTTCAGAATTGATCCTGTTTTATGACTTCAAGCTGTGGTCTTTCTCTCTGCTTTGAATGAAGGTTACATTGAAAAAATTAAAACATACAAAATAGTTTTCATCTCAGGCCTTATCTCCTTAGAAGAGTGAAACAAATGCTTCTGTGGTGTTTCTTCTAGGTCATCAGCTTCTGGACTGTGACTAGAGCATTAATGATGTAGTTGTTGATGATGACAGTGGTGATAGTGGTGGCAATAGTGGTGTTGGTGCTGATAGTGGCTGTGATGGTGGTGGTGGTGGCAGTGATGATGTTGGTGGTCACTGGTCATCATGGTGGTGGTGGTGGAGAATGATGGTGATGGTGGCAATGGTGATGATGGTCGTGATGATGACAGTCATGGTGGTGATGATGGTGTTGACGGTGATGGCAGCAGTGATAGTGGTGAAAGGGTTGGTAGTGGTGGTGACAAGTGATGGTGGTGACAGTGATGGCAGCAGTGGTGATGGTGGTGATGATAGTGGTGATAGTGATGGTGGTGGTGGTGATGGTAATGGTGGTGGTGGTGGTGGTGATGGTAATGGTGGTGGTGGTGATAACTAAATAATCACAATAAGAACAGCTAGTATAAGCATGTTAGTGAGCTGTCACTGACTCAGTTAGAATACCCCTGACCTGGTGGGAGGGACCCTTTGGGCACATAATGTAGGGAGAGAAGGTGAGTCCCCAAGTCATAGCCATGGCTTATGGGGGAAGGTGTGGTAGTAAGAGGAGTGTCAGGTCATCACAAAATTGACAAATGAAAGTACCTGTACATGTGTTAAGCTAAAAAGGAAACTGTTTAGAGTATGACTGTATCATTTTAGTGATTCCTTGTTTTAACTGACTTCTTAGCATTACTAGGAAGATAGGACGTGTTTATTGAACTGTATCTTACTCTGCTTTGTTACTGATTTGAAATAACAGAAGATCCCCTGAAAGTTCACTTACTGAAAACACACTGGTGTGGGACAAGAAAGGGGGAAATAGAGTCTCAACTCTTCAGGGGAATATACAAGAGATGATATAGATAGGTGCAAACAGGCCCTTACCATGTAAGAAATAAGAGCATTCTAGAATTTGAAATAAAGGGAATAGTGGTGTTGGAGAAAGTTGCAGGCATCCTGAATACAGGAGGGGTTGAACATCAGGGGGAGGTGCACTGGAGGGAGCAATGGGAGTTCTTGGATGGGCCACATCTGTGCTGCAGGTAGCCCATCCTGCAGCAGTTCTTGTTCCTGCCAGTGGTCAACATAGGTGGCCTTCAGGCACAGCTGTCCCCAGGCTCACTGCCCTGTGCTTGCTCACAGGTCCTTGCTGTGAGGATCGACGATCTGGACCACCTCCCAGAGACTTCCACCATTGATGCCTCCTCCATTGGCATCGTTCAGGTGAGCAGTGCAGACAGGGCCTGTGAGCCACAGGCCAGGAAAGCTTCCAGACAGACACACACCTGCTGAGCCAGAAGTGAAGGCTGCTGGGAGAACGATGAATGGGCAGCTGTGAGGAGCTGGCATCTTGGGTTTCATGGGCCAGCCTCACTCCCTGTTTTCCTGGTTGATCTTCTCCCTCAGGAGCTGTTTGGAATATCCTCTCATTTAGGCAAAGTTTCAAGGACTTTAGTTTTCTAAATTCTCCCTCAATTGGGAGAATAGGTGGTTTCCAGGAAAGCTTAGTAATATTAAATTGGAAACTTATTAAGTTTAAGTCATATTAGATGAACTTGTTAAAGAAATTCTCAGTCAATACCTCTGAGAAAAAAAAAATTAATATAGAGAGAATATATCATTCTCTGGTGATTATTGATAAATGATATATATAAATGATGATACATAAACTTTTATATATCATGCACTGGTGATGATTTAAAATTCCCTTTATGCATGTGTTTTACAAAGCAGTGCTTCTGGAGCTCCATGTTACTGTGGTTGGGTTGTGCCAAGTGGGCATGAGAGTGATGCTGAGGCCTTTTGGGCACCCCAGGTCAGCTTCCCTGTGGTGTCCAGAAGCCCCTGCCCCACCCCAGTGAGTTACAAGAGGAAGGTTCCAGGGAGGATTCATGAGAACTGTGCCCTGGCTGCCTTTCTGCTAGACCTCTCTTTCTGCTGGACCAGGCCACATAAGGTAGCACTGGAAGATGGCAGGGAACCAGAATAGAGACCCTCTTAGCCATGCACCTGCATCCCCACTCTATGTGCTCTGTGACTCTCAGTGAACACCTGGATCAGAAGACTTTCACCTTTGGGCACTAAGCTAGGGCAGGGCCGCCATGCTGGGCAGCAAGCCCTCAAGGCTCAGCAGGAAGTGAGGCTGGGATGCCAGCATCGTGGGAGAGGGTCTCACTGTCACTGAGAGGAGCCTCCACCTGGGACTGTCATTACAGCTCAGTCCTGCTTTGCTGTTCCAAAAGGACTGGGCTATACAATTCTTGTAGTCAAATGCATTTTGAGTCATTTTGTTCTTACAGTACATTTGTTTCAGCCTGGGTTGTGAGGACTCAGATTTTAAAATCTTGGACTTATAACCACCAGAGCTGAAGCATTTTCTTTTACCTTAAAAAAAAAACCTTGCCATGGAGACCATTTGACATGGAGTCACCTCCAATTCATGGCACTCCATATGTGCAGAGTAGAACTGTGCTCTGTAGAGTTTTCAAGCCTGTGATCTTTCAGAAGCAGATTGCTAGGCCTTTCTTCCATGGTACATTTGGGTGAACCAGAGTCTCCATCTTTTCAGTTAGCAGTTGAGTGCTTAACCATTTCGGCCACCCAGGGACTCCTCCTTTTATCTAGTAACTTAAAAAAGTTAGATTTTAAAGTTGTTTACACTTCAACCCAGAGGTGGCTTGTTTGTTTGTTTGTTTTTGTTGTTGAGAATATACAGAGCTGAACATGCACCAATTCAATAATTTCTACATGTATACTTCACTGGCATTGATCACATTCTTTGAGTTGTACAGACATTCTCATCCTCTTTTTCTAAGTTGTTCTTTCCCCATTAACACCAACTTCCTGCTCCCTAAGTTTCCCATCTAATCTTTTGAGTTGTTGTTGTCAGTTTGATACTATGCAGATAGATCTAAAAGAGCATAATGCTTAAGGCAGAGATTCTTCACTAGTTAAGCTAAATTGTTCAGTTTGAAGAAGATGTCAGGGGATGTTTTGGTTTAAGTTTTAAAGATTATCTCTGGGCATTAGTTTCAGGGGTTCATCCAGACTCAGTGGCTCCAGAAAGACTGGATTTCTTGAGACTTTAAGATTCTATTCTCCATTTTCCCTCTTTTGATCAGAATTCTTCTATAGAAAATTTGATCAAAATATTTAGTGATGGTAGCCAGGCACCATCACCATCCTGTTCTTCTGGTCTCATGGAAGGAATTAGTCACACATTCCATTTCTTCCTCCTATTCCTGGTTCTTTTTCAGTCCTCTGTTGCTCCAGGCAAATAGAAACCAACTGTTGTGCTTTGGATGGCGACTTGCAAGCTTTTAAGACCCCAGGCACTATGCAACAAACTGGGAGGTAGAACAGAAGCACTAAACATGATATTAGGCCAAAGAACTGGGATATTCCATGAAACCATGACCCTGCACCTCCAAAACAAAGAACCACATCCCATGAGGTGTTTGGTTGAACCTAAGCAGCCTTGGCGGTTACTGGTTTTCTTTTGTTGTTGTTGCTATAGCTACCACCCAACTTTTGCTAATTCAACTTTTTTCAGGTGTACAACTTATTGACAGCAATTACATTAATTGGCTGTGCAGCCCTACCCTTAATCAATGAGATTTTTCCATCACTGTAAACTGAAACTTAGTACTCCATAAGCAATAACTCCCATTATCCCCCTCCCTCCCACCCCTGGTAACCACTAATAAACTTTGGTCTCCATACTTATGCCTGCTCTTGTCTTTTTATATAAGAGATAAACTTCCGGTCATACAATATTTATCCTTTTGTGATTGACTTATTTCACTCAGCATAGTATCTTCAAGCTCCACCCATATTGTAGCACCTATTAAGATTTCATTTTTCTTATGAGCTGCATAGCATTTCATTCTATGTATGTACCACCACATTTTGTCTGTCCATTCATCTGAGGATGGACATTTAGGTTGTTTCTACCTTTTGGCTATTAGGAATAGTGCTGTAATGAACATTGTTGCACATGTCTCTTTTTGAGTCTCTACTTTCAGTTCTTTTGGGTATATACCTAGCAGTGAAATTGCTAGGTCATATGATAGTTCTATTTTTAGTTTTTTTGAGGAATCACCACATTGTTTTCTGTAACAGCTGTACCATTCTGCATTCCCACCAGCAAATAAGAATTCATTCATTTCCCTACATCCTTGATGACATTAAGGAGCCCTGGTGCTACAGTGGTTAAGCGCCTGGCTACTAACCAAAAGATTGACAGTTCTAACCCACCAGCTGCTCTACAGGAGACACATGTGGCCATCTGCTCCCATAAAAACCCTATGGGGAAGTTCTATTCTGTCCTTCACAGTCACTATGGGTTGAAATTGATTCAAAGGCAATGTGTTTGATTTTGATTTTTGCTGATGTTTCTTATTTTCTGGTTTTTGTTGTTGTTTTTAATCTTTACCATCTTCTTTTGTTATTAGGTACCCTAGAGTGGGTTCCAACTCAAAGGAGCAGAGTTCTGTACAACAGAATGAAATACTTCCCAATCCTCCACTATCCCCATGAGCTTTTCTATGTTTTAGCCCATGTTTTGCAGCCACTGTGTCAGTCCTCTCTTGAGAGTCTTCCTCTTTTCCACTGACCCTCTATTTTTGTTGTTGTTATTGTTAGGTGCCATTGAGTCACCTCCAACTCATAGCGACTCTGTGTATAAGTGAACAAAAAAATTACCTATCCTTGCTATGCTTGAGGCCTTCACTGCAGCCACTATGTTGATCCATCTCATTGAGCATCTTCCCCTTTTCCCTGACCCTCTACTTTACCAAGCATGATATCCTTCTCCAGGGAATGGTCCCTTCTGACAACATGACCAAAGCAGTTGAGAGGAAGTCTGGCAAGGAGCTTTCTGGCTGCGCTTCCAGGACAGATTTGTTCATTCTTCTGGCAGTCCATACTACTTTCAGCATTTTTCACCAACACCACAATTCAAAGGCATCTACTCTTTTTCAGTCTTCCTTATTCACTGTCCAGCTTTCTCATGCATATGAGCCAATTGAAAATACTACGGCTTGGGGGCTTGGGTCGGCACACCCTAGTCTTCAAAGTGACATCTTTGCTCCTTAACACTTTAAAGAGGTTTTTTTTTTTTTTTTTTTTTTTTTAGTTTTCATTGTGATTTGGGTGAAAGTTTACAGAGCAAATTCATTTTCCATATAGCAGTTCATACACATTTTATTTCATGACATTAACTTCAATCCCCACAGGGTAACAGCTCTCCTCCCACTTCCTCCCCATAGTTAACTCTTCCCTGTGGCCTTCTTTCCTATTCATTCCTACACCCTGAGCTTTCTCCCTGTGCAAATACTGCCCTGTGCAAATGATTGATCATTCTAAGGAGTGTATCTGCCTAGTGTAAATGTTCACTATATATGCCTGTCTGTTGTTTGGCTAGAAGCCATGAGAGTGAATTCAGTACCAGGCCTGAAAGGTAATTAGGGGCCATGGTCTCGAGGGTCTCACCAGGCTCTCTATCAGACCAGTATGTCTGATTTCTTGACTACCGCTTCCATGGGTGTTGACTCTGGATCCAAGTAAAATGAAATCCCTAGAATATTCAATCTTTGCTCTGTTTACCACGATGTTGCTTATTGGTCCACTTGTGAGGATTTTTGTTTTCTATATGTTGAGGTATAGTCCATATTGAAGACTGAAGTCTTTGATCTTTATTAGTAAGTGTTTCAAGTCATCTGCACTTTCAGCAAATAAGGTTGTATCATCTGCATTTCACAGGTTGTTAATAAGTCTTTTTCCAATCCTGATGCTACATTCTTCTTCATATAGTTCAGCTTCTTGGATTATTTGCTCAGCATACAAATTGAATAAGTATGGTGGAAGGATACGACCCTCATTCACAACCCTCCTGATTTTAAGCCATGCAGTGTCCCCCTGTTCTGTTCAAATGACAGCCTCTTCATCAATGTATGGGTTCCTCATAAGCACAGTTTAGTGTTCTGGAATTCCTATTCTTTGCAATGTTATCCATTATTTATTATGATCCACACTGTTGAATGCCTTTGCATAATTAGTAAAACACAGGTAAGGTAAATATCTTTCTGGTATTCTTTGCTTTCAACTAAGGACTGTCTGACATCAGCAATGATATCCCTTATTCCACATCCTCTTCTGAATCCAGCATGAATTTCTGGAAGTTCCCTGTCAATATACTGCTACAACCATTTTTGAATTATCTTCAGCAAAATTTTACTTGTATGTCTTCCAAATTTCTTGGCATGAATGAGTAAGCACCTCCAGTGCAGCATCCATTTATTGAAACATCTCAATGGGTATTCCATCAATTCCTGGAGCCTTGTATTTTGCCAGCTCCTTCTGTGCAGCTTCAACTTCTTCCTTCAAAACCGTTGGTACTTTATCATATGCTACCTCATGAAATAGTTGAACATCGACGAATTTTTTTGCTGCAGTGATTCTGTGTATTTCTTCCATCTTCTTTTGATGTTTCTGTGTCAGTCAGTATTTTGCCCTTAGAATCCTACAGTATTGCAACTTGAGGCTTGAACTTTTACTTCAGTCCTTTCAGCTTGAGAAATGCCAAATATGTTCTTCCCTTTTGGTTTTCTAACTCCAGGTCTTTGCACATTTCGTTATAATACGTTACTTTGTGTTCCTGAGCTGCCCTTTGAAATCTTCTGGCAGCTCTTTTATTTCCTCATTTCTTCCATTTGCTTTAGTTACTGACCATTCAAGAGCAAGTTTCAGAGTCTCTTCTAAATCCATTTTGGTCTTTTCTTCCTTTCCTGTCTTTTTAATGAACTTTTGCTTTCTTCATGGATGATGTTCTTGATGTCATCCCACGATTCCCCTCGTTTTCTGTCACTGGTGTTCAATGCATCAAATCTGTTCTTCAGATGGTCTCTAAATTCAGGTGGGATATAGTCAAGGTCATATTTTGGCTGTCTTGGTCTTGTTTTAATATTCTTCAGGTTCCACTTGAACTCTCATGTGAGCAGTTGATGGTCTGTTTCACAGTCAGCTCCTGGCCTTGTTTTGACTGGAGATACTGAGTTTCTCCATTGCCTCTTTCCACAGATGTATTTGATTCCTGTGTATCACATCTGGCAAAGTCCACATGTATAGCCACTGTTTATGATGTTGAAAAAGCATATTTGCAATTAATAAGTTGTTAGTCTTACAAAAGTCTGTCATGCAATCTCCAGTGTCTTTTTTATCACCAAGGTCATATTTTGATGCTTCTACTTTGTTTCTAACTTTCGCATTCCAGTCATCAGTAATAATCAATACATCTTGATTGCATGTTTGGTCAATTTCAGACTCAGAAGTTGGCAAAAATCTTCAATTTCTAGTAGTCATATATTAGCTGGTCATCTTTATTTTATTATTTTATTTTTTATTGTGATTTGGGTGAAAATTTACAGAGTAAATTCACTTTCCATACTGCAGTTCACATACACTTTATCTCATGACATTGAACACAATTTACCACAATGCAACAGCTCCGCTCCCACTTCCTCCCGATAAGTACCTCTTCCCTGTGTCCATCCCTCCATGCCCTCCTGCCGCCTGAGCTGTCTCCCTGTGCATAAACACCCCTTCTTTCTCCCATGATTGTTCTCTCCAAGGAGTGTATCTACCTCAGGTAAATGTTCAACTCATATGCCTGTCTTTTGCTTGGCTGGAAGCCACAGGTGTGGGTTCAATTCCAGACCTGATGGGTAGCTAGAGGCCATAGTCTCAGTGGTTCCACCATGCTCTATCGGATCAGCAAACCTGCCCGCCCCCCTTTTTTTTCTCCAAGTGATTTTTAGTTTTGTCCACATTGTTCTCCCACTCTATCCAGCATCTCCTACATAGATCCCTTTCAAGTGGTTGGCACTGGTAGCTGGGCACCATCTAGTTCTTCTGGTCTCATAGTCGTATAGGCTGCAGATTGGATGGTGTACCAGTCACTAGGACTGATTGTATCCATGAATTTTGGTTTTCTTCATTCTTCCTTGCTCTGGTTGAGGAGAGACCCATCGTTGCATCTAGATGGCAGCTTGCAACCTTTTAAGATCCCAGTTGCTACTCGCCAAAGTAGGAGGTGGAACAATGTTTTGTGTAGTATGTTATGCCAATTGAATTTGATGTCCCCTGCGACTATGGTCTCAAGCCCACAGGTTCAACTACTTGGTCCCTCTGGGTAGCTGACTGTGACCAAGCAGTGACTACCACCTTGCCTTTTGTCTTAGCTGGTCTTCTTACAGACCAGCTTATAAAATAAAGATATTACTCTATCACTGACAGCATAGTACTTCAGGATAGGTCTTGAAACATTCTTTTTGATGATGAATGTGATGTCATTCCTCTTCAGCTTGTTATTCCTGGAGTAGTAGACTATATGATTATTTGATTAAAAATGGCTAATCCAATTCATTTCAGCTCACTAATTCCCAGAATATCAATCTTTATGCATTTTATTTCATTTTTGACAACTTCCAATTTTCCTAGATTCATACTTTGTGCATTCCACGTTCTGGTTATTAACGGATGTTTGCAGCTGTTTTTTCCCATTTTTGAGTCATGCCCCATCAGCAAGTGAAGGTCACAAAAGCTTTACTCCATCCACGTCATTAAGATCAGCTCTACTTTGAGTAGGCAGCTCTTCCCTAGTCATATTTTGAGTGCTTTCCAACCTGAAGGGTTCATCTTTTTGCACTCTATCAGTGTTTCAGGGCTACTTATAAAGTTTTCCAGTAATATATCCGACAATGTTTTACTACTATTCATAAGGTTTTAGTGGCCAGTTTTTTCAAAGGTGGGTGACCCTGGCCGCCTTCTGAGTCTGTTTTAGTCTGGAAGCTCCACTGAAACCTGTCCAGCATGGGTGACCCTGCTGGTATTTGAAATACCAGTGGCATAGCCTCCAGCCTCACAGCAACATGCAAGTCACCATCCATTTTTTGATTGGGTTATTTGTCTTTTTGTTATTCGTTTTTTTAAGTTTTATATATATATTGGTTATTAAATTCTTATCAGACCAAATAATAGATTGGCTTATAAAATAAAGAGTATTACCTGTGAGGATGTGCTCCCTCAAACAATCAACTCTATGAGACCAAATGGTTAACATCTACCCAAAAGCAAAGAGGAGAAGGCAAGGAGGGGCAGGGAGGCTAGATGAATGGAAACAGAGCAAGCAGAATTGAAATAGTGAGAATGCTTTCACATTATAAATATTATGACCAATGTCATGGAACAATTTGTATAAAAACTGTTAAATGGGAACCTAATTTGCTGTGAAAACTTTCACCTAAAACACAATAAAATAATTTTGTTTTCAGATATATTGTTTCCAAAGATATTCTCTCAGTCAGTTGCTTATGTTTTCACTTTTTTTGGTAAAGTCTTTTTATAAACGAAAGTTTTTAATTTTTATAAGGACCGATTTATGTATTTTTTCTTTTGTTGTTTGTGCTTTTGTTATTATATTAGATAATCTATTGTAAAAGCTAGACCTAACAGCATTGCCCTTGCATTTTCTTTGAAGAGTTTTAGGTATTAGTTTTCATATTAGGTCTCTACTCCATATGAATTTTTTTGTGTGTGTGCTTTGAGGCATGGATCCCATTTCACATTTTTGCACATGGAAATTCAGTTTTCCCAGCACCATTTATTGAAGAGGTTCTTCAAATGGACTTAACACCCTTGTCAAAAATCAGTTGACCAGAGATGTATGGCTTTAATCCAGAGCTTTTAACATTGGATTTTCTAATATAATAACCCTCAATTCTATTCTGTGGGTCTGTCTATTGTTATACCAATACTAGGCTGTTGTGATTACTGTAGCTGTATATGTTTTAAAATCAGAAGTGTAGGTCCTCATACTTTCTACTTCTCTTTCAACATTTCTTTAGCTATTTGGGGCCTCTTGCCATTCCATATAAATTTGAGGATTGTTTTTTCCATTTCTGTAAAGAAGCTTATTGGAATTTTGATTTGGATTGCTTTGAATCTATAAATCATTTTGGGTAGTAATGACATCCTACCAATATTAAGTGTTCTAGTTGATGAACACAGAACATCTTTCCATTTAAGTCTTCTTTAATATCTTTCACCAGTGTTTTATAATTTGAGGTGACTTATTTTAACATGATCAGTATCTAATTTCCTTTACTTTTTTTCTTTTTAAGCTGAACCCCTGACCCTTAGAAATGCATATAAGCAGGTAGACTGTTGTCACTCTATGTCCCGCATCAGTTCTGTGGCCTGAAAGCTTCATGGCTGACCTGAGCATGCATTCAGGGTCAGTATAGGGACCATGCTGCTACCTTGTGGACAGGACCCCTTGACTTGTCATTTGCTAAAACTTGTTTCCTGCAGCCTGAACTGAGTCTGGAGCAGGAGGAGTTGGCTGAAGGGAAGCACGTGAAAGCTGCAAAGCGAGCACACAAGAGGAAGCAGAAACCAGACGAGGAAGCAGGGGCCCCAGTGCCTGAGAGCACCACCTTCAGCGAGTATCCAGAGAAAGAGACTGAGTTCGCCGGCAGCAGCGTGGGAGATGAAACCAACTCAGCGGTACAGAGCATTCAGCAGGTCGCACCACTTCTTTGTGTGTCGATGAGGTGCCCTCCTACTCTGATAAGAGACACATTTTCCTAATTCAAGCCCCATCTTTACATTACTCCAATCCATTTTTCAATATGCATAAGTGTTGTTACTGTTAGTGTCTGTCAAATCAGCTCCAGCTCATGGCTACCTTAGATACCAGAGACTGAAACATTGTCCAGTCCTGCATCATCTACGTGATCCTTGGCACATTTGAGTCCCTGTTTGCGGCTGTTGTGTAGGCCTTCCAACTAAGGGGTGCTCATCTTCTGACACTATATTCTGTTGTGATCCATAAAGTAATATTAGCTGATTTTTGGAAGTAGATCACCAGGCCTTTCTTCCTAGTCTGTCTTAGTCTGGAAACTCTGCCAAAGCCTGTCCAACATGGGTGACCCTGCTGGTATTTGAAATACTAGGAGCATTGCTTCCTACATCACAGCAGCATGCAAACCACCTACTTGGACTTCATACAGCTGCAGTCATCTGACACCTTCCATTTCTCACTTGAGCATTATTTCTCATGTTGGTATTTCCAAGTTTTGACCTATGACACACTCCTCATTGTTGAACCCAACGTGACATTCTGGCATGTTAAAGAGGGCCACCGTGCCCTGGCTAGGAATTGGGATTGTTTCCCATTTTTGATGGTTATAAATGGGCTTCCTAAGTGTTCCTTTACTGTGGAAGTGGAGCCTTGTGTGTCTGCTGACCAGTCATTGTAAACCACATAATATCCAGAGGGAATCTGGGGATAAAGAAAAGTATGGGCTCAGCCAGCACGTCCTGCTTCTTTTAATGGAATCTTCCAATTCACTCAGTCTTTACCACTTTTGTTTCTGAGCCTCCCAAATCTTTCCTCAGTCTGGGTCTAACACTGCACACCTCTCTCTTCTTTTCAGGGCGGTAATCCTGATTATAAAAAATGTTACATTTATTTGGCCTTTTGATGCTATCCATGTGAAAGACTACTGCTTTCTTTATTATTTACTAGCTCTTGGTTTATTGCCCTTTATCCAAACCAAAACCAAACTCACTGCCATTGAGTCAATCCCAATGTATAGTGACCCCCATTGGGTTTCTGAGGCAGTAAATCTTTACAGAACTAGATTGCCTATCTTCCTTCTGTGGAGTGACTGGTGGGATTGATCCTCCAGCCTTCTGGTTAGCAGTCAAATACCTTAGGCATTGTACCACCAGATCTCCTTATTTAGCTTTATAGTTGGGGTTTCTATTTATCAGCAGCAAGGCTGTTTAGAGGAGTGGATAGAAAAGAAACTATGTTCCCTGTCATTTATTGACATTGGTTTTCTCCGCCCTTTTTCCCCCCAATCAGAGAAATGCATTTGTTTCTCAGTTTTGTCTCATTGGGTATATGATTATGCCTTTGGGTTCTTCTTTTTGTCCAGAAAGTCTTTTTTCAGGACAAAAGTCACCTATTGTAAGTTACTTAGTTTAATTAAAAAATTAAACTTTAGTTATTTAGCTTAATCTACCACCAAAAGATGTTTTTTGCCTTTTTTTATTTGGGCACAACACCCAATCACTCCAGCATAAACTGTGTGGCATAGAAGGGTTCTTTTGTTCTCAGTTTTGCAGAAAAGATTGATGATTTTATATTGCATACAACTCTTCCAGGTGGTGGTGACGCTGGGTGACCCAAATGTCACCACTCCATCGAGTTCAGTCGGCTTAACCAACATCACCGTGACCCCCATTACCACTGCAGCTGGGACTCAGTTTACCAACCTCCAGCCGGTGGCCGTTGGTCACCTCACCACCCCAGAACGCCAGTTGCAGCTGGACAACTCGATCTTGACCGTGACCTTTGACACCGTCAGTGGCTCTGCCATGTTGCACAACCGCCAGAACGATATCCAGATCCACCCGCAGCCGGAAGCCTCGAACCCACAATCCGTGGCCCACTTCATCAACCTGACCACCCTGGTCAACTCCATCACGCCCCTGGGCAACCAGCTCAGTGAGCAGCACCCGCTGGCATGGCGGGCGGTGCCTCAGACAGACGTCCTACAGCCCCCACAGCCACAGCCTCCTCAGCAGCAGGCATCACAGCCCCAAGTGCAGACCGAGCAACAGCAGCAGATGTACAGCTATTGAGTCTTCCTGAAGAGAACTCAAGAACAGAAAGATGAGGAGTTTTCTGGTGGATTTTTGAGATTTGTGTGCTGGATACCAAACAAAGAAAAATAATCATACATTGCAATGTAAGTAAAGGTTGACTTAGCTTTTGCAGAATTATCTCCAACCCCCCCCCAACAACCATTACCATCTGCCAGGCAAGAGTTTTAACCTGATCAGTTTCCACACTATGCCTTACTCAAGGTAGTGCATCCCAGGCAGTTGCCATGCCCCAACCTTCCCTCACAAAACCCTGTTTGTTTCACTGACACAGACCTGGGAAAATTAAACTGAAAAGTAGCAGCTTTGTAGGAGGCAAGTGATGTTACAATATGTTACTAGAAGCATAAATGGTTCATTTTGTTTTCTCCTTTAGAGCTCAGATATTGTATTAAAAAACAGTATTCAGACCTGGCAACACACAGCAACAAAACCCAGCTTTCTCCTCACTTCTGGGTCATTTTTTTGTTGTTGTTATTGAAGAAGTAGTGAAAGTAACCTTGATTCTCTTCTTTGAAATTTGAGTTGAGTGACTTTGCCATACGGACTAAAACCATGTGAGAAAGACATGCTCTGATAGCATATGTCTTTTCAAGCCTTCAAGTTCAGTAGGCAAGGGTGTCATGTGAGATCCCTGAGTCAGGCATAAAAGGGTTCTTAGTAATGCCACTCCTTGGAAGGAAGATTGGGCAATCTACTTCCATAGTGATACTGCCTCAGAAACCCAAGGAGGGGTCTTTATGAGTCGGGTCTGACTTGACAACACATAACAACAACAACACAGTAGTATTATACAGAGATCAATTTTTAATATACTTTTTGTTCTTTCAAGCATTCATTGTGTGTTCAAGACAATGTTATGGCCAAGGATGATTTTTATTTTATTTTATTTTAACCTGGTAAAGTCATTTGCACTGTAGGACTAGCCATCCATATCCAATTTCATACACCTGCCCAAAGGCAAGGAAACACCTCTGTTGGGTGCAGCGAGTCAGTCCTTGTGCCATCACTTCTGATGGCTCTTTCAGAGTTCTCTCAGGATTGTCTGTCATCCAAATCTATTTATTATGGCTGAAGATCAGGGAAGAAATCCTTGTTTTCTTTCTGTTGAAACTATAATTCCAAAGGTTGATGTGTTTCAAGACCAATTTTCTATAAATTTGTAGAAGGAGTTTGGCTTTTTACAGTAGAAAAGCACAGGCATTTCTGAAATGCAAAAGTACCTCTGTTTCCTGCCAGGCAGCACTGAAAACAGAAGAGTTTATCAATAAGTGAATGAGCTGATTAACAGCTCTGCTTGTGGGCCGGACAGGTCTGCATGTGTGCCATTTTCTCAGGCTTTAGACGAATCTCCATGATGGTCGTGGTTGAAGCAGACAGAGGCATGGGAAAAAGCAGTCTTAACTCTCCTAGTGCTTTTTAACTTTGACCACTGAAATGACTCCTTTGCCTACTTTGTCCATGATCTCTCTTTGTCCCCGATTCTGTCCTTTGGAAGGCCATCTGGAAGAAAGACTGACAAAGAGTCAATAGTGGATATATGAGGCCAGAGTAATGTTGATGTCACTAATGAGGCAAAGGGTACTTTGTTATGCAAAATGCAACTTTCTCAGCACTTTGTTCCAAATGGCAAAATGTTGAGGCCAAGACTAGAATTTGTTTTGTGAATTACAAGCCTTCGGGAACTAAAGGAGTTTTATGGCCCTTGCACCACATGAAAGGAGTCTTCAGAGTTCATTTAATTCACACCCACACTCACTCACAGCTGAATTAATATGGGAGGTGGTTTGACCTTTTAATTTATGATAATTATTTTTATCTTATTTATATATATATATACACA